CAGGGAAACCGAGACGGAGTCACTCCTGAATATTTTGCTGCAATGGAATAAATTCCCAGTATCACCAAGGACTCATGTGCGGAATAATGACTCAGCCAAATGCTGACTCACTTCAACCGTCAGTCTGCACTCCGCAAATTCTCTTTTGCGGTTTAATCGGCCAAATAAGGGGGAACAGAGAGAAGAGAGCGAAAGGGAAGGAGGCGGCAATACAGTGAAGGGGATAAAAAAATCTACATATATTCTCCTGAAGAAGGTGGATGAAAGAGGACAAAAAAAAGACAAAAGACCCCTTGAGGGTTTAAACTCGGGGTGAAGCTTATTTGGCGAATGATAGAATGCTTTTTCAAAGACGATGAGCTCCGGGGATGATGAAACTCGCTAACACATCTATTCATTGTCATTGATTGTATATGACTTTTACCGATTCATTATGCAATATAGCCAGGACAGCCTTACAGAGTCACGACGCTTTGTGTTGCGTTGCTTCGCATCGCGTCGAGGTCTGTATGATCTCAAAAGTCAGAGTTTACCCACCTCTAATTTTACCACTACAGCACTGGTTGTAATATATCCAGTCTCACGAAAAAAACCCTCCTTCAACCACAGAGCCTGATGATCTACAAGCTATGCAGTCAAACTGATTCATCAGCCTACCTTCAACTTCAAAAGCTGGATTCGGTGCATTTGGATGAACATAAAGCAAGACATTGTCTGCCTCTCTATGTATCTTGAGAACTGTGCTGTAATGAGCACTTCCGGTGGCCAAGGAATTGGCTCAATCTGAATGTGCACTGCACTTGCTCGGAAAAAAACCTAAGCGTTTTTTTCAACTGGTTGTTTTGAGAATAAACTGAAGGTGACTGGGCAGCAGATCAGACAGAGCTGAGTAAGACTTTGGGTCGAACTAAAAGACATTGGGCAAGCCGAGGGTCAGCAGGAGCAAATGGTTGAAAGAGTCCCATTCATGGATCGAAACCAGAAAAGGAAAAGCAGTGGCTCTCCCCAAGCTTGATTTCACCATCTCCCACAAACGCTCTACCCAAATACACACACACACACGCCGCAGATTTGGGAAAAAACAAGCTGGTTATGAGGCTGACTCAGCTCTCATTTGTATTGACGGGACAGACCACCAAGGTTTTATGAGGGTTATGGTTATGAGGTTAAGAATTACCTAATTTTGTAATTTTAACAAACCCTGAGACCACTCTTGCCAAAATGTCAATATATATTGAAGTAATACAAAAAGCAATTCAGACAGAGGTAAAGTCATCGGAGAGAGGAGGCCAAAAACTTTACCCCCCTGAGCACAAATAAAAAGGAGCAGGGCATTTCCCTCGGCTTTGATGACATGTCGAAGTAAAAATATTTGCACAGGTTACTCTCATAAAGGTACCTCTGTTTCAAAGAAATAAATCCACTTACATTCCACATATTTAGCAGCTCATGTCTGCGCTCATTCCACAGCTAATTACCTACCACTACACCCGGTGAGATTCGGTTTTGGTGGGGACCTTTAATGTTGCACAACCTGCCCCTTCCAACAGCAGTGAAATTGTTTTTTGTTAAACATTTCAAGATGTAACATCTTGTCCTCAAGGATTATGACGAATCAGTCCATGATAAAACTCAAGAACCCGTTGGAGGGATTGCCGATTGAGGCCCTTTGAAAAGTGGCCATACTGGCGCGTGTTGTGTTGTGTCTGCTGCAGATCCACAAGAGCCAAATCAAACACACCCTCGGTCTGCGGCTGAGGTCACTACTGTGGCCCTGACCCGCTGCCTCACCTGTGAAGTCCCACCTGGTACGCCATGATGTGTGGAGTCAGAGCGAGGATATGCTAGCTGAATGCAACAGAGGGTTGCTGATGGCCACAGATTGTACTCTTTATCTGTTTTATTGAATGTGCTGATTTACTGACGGTGGACGGTTGGGCTGTTGAAGTTATAAGGTACACAGTAAATCACTTCCCTTGTTAGAGACAGGGTTAAGTCCAAAAATGGATGGCATTCAAACTCATCTGTGTTTATGTCATTAATAATCAACCGGGAAAAGAAATTTGAACCATCTTCTCTGATCTTCTCTGCTTCTGTAAAATATTCATTCATTCTTTTGTGCTAAATTTACCCTGGACCGTATAAAATGAAAAACCCCAGATAACTCGTAGTAACAAAGGCCCTTTTGTATGAGGCGTATTGAAGTGAAGGGCTTTACTCTGGGTTGCTGCACAGCCAGAAAGAAATCCTCCATCCAGTCTCTCACAGATTAGAAAATTGGGCAAAGGGGGGGAGCAATGTGCAGGTTTACTGGCAGGGCTGCGTTCTTAGAAAGAGGGTAGTGTTCGTGGTGAGGGGAGCGGCCGTATTCAGTAACAGCGCCTCTTCCTTCAGCCAAAGCCAACATCTTATGTCTACACAGAGCCACAGCAACAGCAGCGCCCCCCCGACCTGGCTTCCCTTTCAAGTCATTCTTTTTTAAATGGCTCCCTCTAGTTTGAAGCAATGCACTCTCCCTCAATGAAATCCAACCTAGATTGTGCTTCATACTTTCAGTTAAGAAGTAGAGAACAGAGAGTGTTGGTAAATTTACAATGTTTGGCGATTCACGTCCGCTGGAAGAAATTGGATAAATTAGTGTGATGCACAGCCAACAAACACACCACAGATGCACAATCGCAGACTTTTACTTATTTTACAGTTGCTGTTACGTCCTTTAATCTTCATTTAGAAAATAGGAACTTTCCTCTCAGAACTTCACTCTCAAAACATACTTTTCATATCAAGTAATTCAGGAGAGAACAGGTGAGAGATGAAAGAAAAGTGACTGAAAGTCAGAAAATGTTCTCAGCAGAATTTAGATTTCAAATAAGTTGAAAATGGGTCAACCACAACTCAGCACGACTAGTTCACTAAAAGACAGTGACTTTCTTCCTCCTCTTGATATGACCGTTTGCTGTTTCACTGTTTGCTGTTTCAAACACGCTGTTACTGGAATGAGTCGGTTGAGAAGAATGCTTATAAAGTACACTGAGATCATTTGGACTTTGAGAAGCCCAAGAAAAGTTACATGTTTCCATAAAAATGTATTAGTTCTGGAAGTATGACAGTTAAAAAAAGGATTAGCAAACTGTAATTGTCCCTCATAGACCAAGGAGTGGGGGAGAGCAGGGTTTTTATTGCCAAAAAACCACATGGGGGAAGATGTACTGAGAGGAGGAGACGAGGACAAGGGGGGCAAGCCAGGGCTGACCTGTAAGTTCAGGGAGACATGACAGGTAAATAGCAGATAGGTACACACTTGTGTTAATATTTGTGTATGTCTGAGTCAATTTATGTCAGTATGTGTATTGTTTGTGTAGCAGGGTTAAAATTTTCTTGACCAGATGAGCTGCTGCAGAAAACAGGTAAGTCACGTCTCGGAAGGCGCCCAAACACCCGGATGCCACAGTCCCCATCCATGTTGGTAACTTACTATGATTGATGATTCTCATTACCTCAGTGTCACAATATCGGTGGGGATTATTTGCAATAACGCTTAGCTGTCCTCTAGGAAAACTAAGTAAATAAATACCAGCGCGTAAAACTCCAGGTGCATCATTATCTTCTTCTCTCTCTTTCCCAGCTTGACCTGCCGTAAACTCAGACCCTCCGCTTCAAAGATGCCTTTGCGAAAGCTGCTGGGCAAACGTGTCTGGCCGCGGCTCGCTGCCCTCTGCGGGAGGCGCATACCTGCGTTGGCGGTGGCGCGGCCTCCATGCCCACAAGTCTTTCTCAAACCAATAACAACATTTGCCAGGTGTGATGTTTTACCTTCCTGTGTGTTGAGGCCGTGTTTCACCTCAAAAACCCATATTTAGGTTTCAAACAACATTTGGGCTGACACAATCAAAACAGACACAATCAAAACAGTATCTTATTCATTTAGATTACACAATTACAGGCTAATAATGGCTCAATCCCTCTCTCGGTGGTTGGTTTCAAACGTCCTATCCCGTAAGCCACGGCCCTTTCCGTCTGACCATCAATCGTGGCCAGACACCTGGTCAGAATATTTGTGTTCAAAATGCTGTTATTAGATCTGAAGTGTTGCTTTGGGTTGCTATAGTAAGAGACAAAAAGATTGGCCCATATTCAACTTGCAACTTTTAGTGTGACATTGGGACCGCCTTGAAATACATGAATGCTACGTTATGTCACCGACCCCATCACAGCTCCGTTGGCTAAAACAATCTTCTGATCTACACAAGCTCCTGCACAGGTTACCCTCGGCATTACGTGTCCATAACATTTTGAGTATTCTACGATCAACCACCCTCCACAGAACGTGCTTGATTCCCAGTCAAAGAATACTTTGAGACCAGGTTGGAGATGTTATCAGAGTCTGGGAAGCCTGCTGTGTCTCTCTCTTCAGGTCGGCAGCTCTCATAAAACAGCGGGAATAAAAAGAGAGTGTGTGTGAGCGCTGGCGAGGGGAGTAGGGAACAGTGTCTGTGACTGTCGGGCCTCGTGGCCGCCCAGGGGCTCAAATCAAATCTCAAAAGGGTCTTTCTGTGGATTCTCTGTCATCGTGTTTTTTGGGGGGTAGGGGGCTGATTTTGATTTCAATGAGGCAGCCAGGCAAAGGGGCGTGGGCAATGGGGCCGGTAGGGAAAGTTAAATGTTTTCAAAAGGAGGCTAAAACAGTTTGGAGAGCAGCAAGGATGGAGGAGGTGTAGCTTTTCTTTGAGTTGCATTTTTCGGATTGGAGGACTGCATTTAATGAAAAATAGGACCAATTGTTTTGACATCTGATGAGTTATACATTCGTTCACTTTCAACTTCACTGCACAATGATTTTTGCTGACAATATACTGAGTAATTGCTTCTTTGACTAATGTTAGGTGTCACAGGAGCCATGGCAACGACAGCTCTGACCGGCTTCTCTATGATGAGCATGCTCAGCCTCGGGTACCTGACCTGGGACCTGATGGGTCCTAACCAAGTGGAAAACGAGCCAGTTCAAACTTTCGATGGCTCGTCTCCTGTTCCGCAGCGTCCTCACATCATTTTCATCATGACGGACGATCAGGGATTCAACGACATCGGCTACCACAACTCTGACATCAGAACACCGGCGCTGGATAAACTGGCTGCAGACGGAGTGAAGCTTGAGAATTATTACATCCAGCCCATCTGCACGCCCTCCCGCAGTCAGCTCATCACCGGCAGGTAAAATGTTTTTGCTTTCTATATATGTCTATGTATACATATGACATTCATGATTAATATTATGGTTATTGTAGATGTCGCATTCCACTTGCGTTGTGAAATTAAATAGTGAAGAATTACACTACAATTCCTTCAATTTAAAATGTTGAAAATGTTTAAATCTCAAACTGAAAAGGAGATCTTATCGTCCTGTAACTGCATCTCAGAGAACAACACATTTTCCCTCTGACAGTATTCTTAATCCTTAACCTTACAGGTACCAAATTCACACTGGCCTGCAGCACTCCATCATCCGGCCCCGCCAGCCCAACTGCCTGCCCTTTGACCAGGTCACCATGCCCCAGAGACTGCAGGAGCTCGGCTACTCCACCCACATGGTTGGCAAGTGGCACCTGGGCTTCTACAAGAAGAAGTGCCTGCCCACTCGCAGAGGCTTCGACACATACTTTGGCTCCTTGACGGGCAGTGTGAACTACTACACTTACAACTCCTGTGACGGACCCGGGCTGTGTGGTTTTGACCTCCTTGCGGGGGAGTCGGTGGCGTGGGATCAGAGGGGCAAATACTCCACCCATCTCTACACACAGAGAGTTCGCAAGATCCTGGCCACTCACGATCCTCAGTCGCAGCCACTGTTCATATTTCTCTCTTTCCAAGCAGTTCACACACCCCTGCAGTCTCCGCGCGAGTACATCTACCCGTACCGCGGGCTGGAAAACGTGGCACGCAGGAAATATGCCGCTATGGTGTCTGCTGTCGATGAGGCCGTACACAACATAACATATGCCCTCCGCAAGTACAGCTACTACAAGAACAGTGTCATCATCTTCTCCACGGACAACGGGGGGCAGCCTTTGTCCGGCGGCAGTAACTGGCCGCTCAGAGGACGCAAAGGCACCTACTGGGAAGGCGGCATACGTGGTCTGGGGTTCGTACACAGCCCTTTGTTGAGGAAGAAGAGAAGAGTGAGTAAAGCCTTGGTGCATATTACTGACTGGTACCCCACACTGGTGGGGTTAGCAGGTGGCAACGAGTCCCTGACAGAGGGGTTGGATGGGTATGATGTTTGGGGAGCCATCAGTGAGGGGAAGGAGTCCCCCAGGTTGGAGATCCTCCACAACATTGACCCTCTGTATAACCATGCACGCAGTGGCTCCCTGCAGAAGGGATACGGGATTTGGAATACAGCGGTTCAGGCCTCCATAAGAGCGGGAGACTGGAAACTCCTCACAGGAGACCCCGGCTACGGAGACTGGACACCGCCGCAGATGCTTTCGGGTTTCCCCAGCAGCTGGTGGAACCTGGAGCGTCACACTGAACCCCAGAAGTCGATCTGCCTTTTCAACATCTCCGGCGATCCCTACGAACGCTTCGACCTCTCCGAGCAGAGACCAGATGTTGTGAAAGAGCTGCTGGCTAGACTGGCATTCTACAACCGCACTGCGGTGCCGGTAAGGTACCCATCAGAGGACCTACGGGCCGCTCCCCACCTGAATGGAGGGGCCTGGGTGCCCTGGGTGGGAGACATGGAGGAGGACAGATGGGACACTGTTTATCCAAAAAAGAACAGAGATTGGAAGAATAAGCTGAAACAATCCAATAGCAGGTCGTTTTTCAGAAGACTCAACACTAGGATCATGTCCAACAGGATATAGAAGGAAAATGACTGACAGAAGTTCAGAGGAGGCATTTATGAAGAAATATGTGTTTTGGTTGAACAAAGAAGCTGCAGTTACGGAGTTTTAACTGTTGTAAACACCCAATTAGAGTAGTAATTGTTCAACTGGGTTGTATTAATTTTGAATAAAATGTGTTTCCCTGAATTGAATATTCTGTGATGATAGTGAGAGTTGATTTCATCTTAGGTTTTTATACACTCGTATAATCAAACGTGTGTGAGACAGAGACACATGCGAGAAAGGATTGTACTACCTACCTTACCAGAAATGTGTTGAGTATTTGAAGACAAGGTGACAAGGAGAAATCCTCTGGAAACATGTGTAACTCCAACATAAAAGATGACCTCCATCTCGATGCCTATTTTTCTTTTTACATTTTGGCTAATTTGCATTCACTAAAGATTGTTCAGACGAAAGAAAGAAAAAATATCTAAATTACACACTAGGGTGAGTTTGAATTCTCACTTCTTTTTTCCCATAAGTACTTATCTGAAAACGTTGCCTTGGTTAATACACTGTGGTTGAAACGTGATGAAACTGACCAGGTTAAAAGGACGTTAGCTAATTTAAAAGACATTCAGTTTCACATATTTGATTTCAACACAAAAGAAGATTTCGTTAGATGCTGCCAGTATTTCCCAAGATCAACATACTGCACTACAAGGGATAATTCAGTAACCAAGCTACATATAGTATTTCGTACATTTTTTTTTATGACCGCTATCTCACTTTTATCTCACATCTGTTTGCTTATTTATACTTTACCAGTTGTGTGTGTCATAGTGAATTGCATGTTATTTGGTGTTGTTAAGCCACTTTTAGATCACGGATGTAAAAAGACCTGAAAAGGAAAAAGCTTAGCAAAAAACAGACCACTTTGAAAAAATGATGGACTGTAAATATTTATGTACAATGTGTAAGTAAAATCTTACACAATCTAAAATGTAGAATGGATGAGTGATCACCATTTGGTTGGTTAACAGCGACAAGCTGAGTACAGAATTAGCAATATGTATTGGTATCATAGTGGGCCTAAAAACTTGCCACTCTGTCATGGCTCAATGCTTTCATGGGGCCCTACACGCTGCCAATTGAGTTTGAAATGAGAAGTGAAACTATTTCCCGTGATACCTAACCACCAACTGCGTACTGTTTCCTGTCAGTATATGTGACAACCTCAGCTTCTCACCCCTCTTTTGCTTCTGTAGATTTAACTGTGATATTCTGCAGTTGTGTATTTTCTTTAAAAGTTAGAGTTATTGTAGAGGATTAAGGAGTATGGAGGCAGTGATTCTTCTTTTGGTGATGTTAGCTGGAGTATCGAATGGTAATATCACGAAAAACAAAGTACTTCTTTAAACATGTGTAAAAGATTAATCATGTAACATAAACTTTTTTCTTTCAGCTTTCCTTCAGGCTGGTGAGACTAAATGCAACATCACACCAAACTCATCTCTGTGCTCCGTTGCTCTCGGTGGATCTGTGAGCCTCCAACTGATGACCAACGCCAGCGGCCGTCGCCTGGACTTTAAGAAGAAGCTCCCTACTGGATTCATGAATGTTTTCTCTCTGAAGAAAGGCAAGGTGACTGTACAGGAGCCTTACAGAAACAGGACAGAGTTCCTCATCAGCAGCGGGACACTCAAGATGACAAAAATGGCGAGGAATGATTCAGGTCAATACAGCGTAGAAGTCTTTGATGAAAACGGGATCAAACTGAGAAATGTTATTTTCACACTGGATGTTCAAGGCAAGTCTTTAAAACCTTCCTCATCTTACTGTTCATCATCTTACGTTTTTTTACGCTAATCCACAATGTTGTCATGGTTCAGGGAAAAATACAAAACAACAATTCAGACTCTCCCTTGACTAAAAGACCAACACATTGTAGCACGTAAATTGTACGTATAACTCCACTTCTATAGCAAATTGTAAATTGGGTTATTTGATGAAATTGCACTTTGTTATTTCTTGCTCTTCTGAGTTTGTATCCTTATGGTTGAATGCACTTATTGTAAATCGCTTTGGATAAAGGCGTCAGCTCAATTACATGTAATGTAATTTATAGGAAAAATAATCCACAATGCACAGTTAATCCAAAAACTAAATGCCGGTATGAAAGCTGTGTGGTGTTATTTGTCCAAAAATCACTACTTTCAAGCGCTTCTTTACTTCCTCGAGATGCGTTCTTCAAAGATAAATAAAAATGCCAAAAACATAACCGAGTCCTGCATCCCACTGTAGCAAAAGAGTCATGACAATAACCTCTCCGGCCATGTTGTCACTGATGAATAAAGTAAATAGACATGCGCATGCGCAGGCTCCATGCAGCTGACGCAGAGAGGTGTGGTTTTGTGTTTTAACCGCGTTTCACTGAAGAGACAGTATTTAAGCAGGATATCCGACTCTGTCAATAGCATGCCAACACAACCCAACAAGGAGCGACGCCGCAGGGTCGGCGGCGGCTTTGCGCATGCGCTCTTCAGCTTTTCGTCTCGTGCGACGGGCGGCGGTTCTCTCCGCTCGGACTGCAGCTGGATCTGCGGCGCAAGCCGCGAGGCTCCCGTGAGACCGACTCGTTAAACAGTAACCGCAGAACAGTACGTGATTTGCCGCCAGATAGCGGAAAGGTGTCGCTGGTTGCTTTTGAAAGAAAGAAAAACTCGCCAGGAGGTTTTGGGAAGTAACTGTACCAAAGGACTTTGCGCATGCGCGGGTCTTAATTTCTATTAATTTTGAATTTTTATCTCATATGTCCCTTCATTTTTATTTCTAGTGGTGTGAAGGGGCTTCTACACTGAGAAGTGAAAACCAAAAACAGCAGTATCATAATATGAAATTTCAGGGTGTGAACATTGTTGTGAACACACATCATCACACTATGGCTACAACACCAAAAGGGGAGATCTTCTGCAAAACAAACAGAAATTACACAGAACAATTTCTCTCAAATCAACTTAATTATTTCTATTCTCTAGATATTGATAATTAAAGAACAAACAAAAAATAACATACAAGTGAAAAACTAATTTAAGTGCTGTGTAGCTGAACTTACGTTAGCGTAACTCATGTGATGGACATCACCATTGTGGTCTCACCTTCCCAGGAAACATCTGGCACATCTTGATCCCTGTCTGTTCAGCGGTGGCTGCTCTTCTGATGGTGGTTTTGTGTTGCTGGGTCTGCTGTAAAGTGAGGCGTCGTAGGAAAACAAGTAAGACTTCAAAAGCCTGTTTGCACCAAACGACCTGGATGAAAGTGTCTTTTTGTTTTTATTCTGCTTTAACAAATAATTATGTTCTTTTTTGTCCATTTTCCATCCATAAGGTAAAGAGCTTATGGAATTCGACCTCGAATTTCGACGTTTGGACATGAACTCACTGAGTGCTCAATGAACAGGACTCCTCACATTACTCTGACGTTATAAATGTATTGTTTTGTATTTTGCTTAAATGTTGAAAAAAAACACTGACTTGAGTCGTCAGTGAAATGTCGACACGTCATGTTAATCTCAGCAGCAGCACCATCAACAACAGCTTTGTGAAGTCTCATTCTGACCAGAATAGATCATGTAAATAATTCTTGTTTACTCTACTCTTTAATTATAAAATACTGATGCTTACAATTAGGACCCCAAAAGTAGTTTTGAGGTCTTTAAAAACATCCTTTAATCCGTCTCAAATAAAGTTAATTTCTTCATCATTTCACTCAATAATAGTGGTCTCTCTGCATTGTTGTTGTTTGCTTATTTTGAGTCTTGGTGGTTTAATGTTTGCACTGTAGCCTTGTGTGAAAAGGAAGAGCCTTTTCCCCAAATTGTATAAAAGCAAGGGGAAACATCGGGAGAGTCTGGAGTGAAGTCACCTGCAAGAGGTTGTGGTTATTTGGTTCAGTTTGTTCCTGGTTTTCCTCTTTGTCCATTAGAAGTGTTTGTTTTTTCTCTGTTTTCCTGAAGACCACCGAGGATAATAAAACGGAATGTTTAATCGCATCCCAGAGTGCTGAGTTTTTTTGACTGCTCCTCATCTCAACTCAAACCTCAGTAAGTCCTTGACGCCACCATCCTGTATAGGCGTTGGCCTGAAAGGTGCTACGTCACACCTTGAAACCCAAAATTAACGTGATTGACAATTAGACAAAATATTCATCAATAAGGTTGTAAAGGTTGCAACTTTTTACTTAGTGGGATGTTACTGTAAAGTAAATGCTGCATTGTTCGATTAAGTTTCATCATTATCAATGGTAAAAATAATTGAATCCATCTATTTCATTTAGCCGTTAGAGCTTTCACTGAGACCTTTAATCTCATCTATCATTATTTCTGCAGATGAGTGATCCTTTCAACTACAGCACACTGTTTTTGATACTTCCAAAAAGAAAAATGTATTTACATGCAACTATTTTTTTTTTTAAATCAAATAGTTCAGGCCTAGTACCTCTTTAGACTCACCAGTGCTTCAAGTTAGCAGACCCAAGGTCCTGGGCTGAAACTCTCCTCCAGATGTGGAGTCAGAGGAGCTTTTTACATACAAAGAAGCAGTAGCAAGAAGTTACATTACAGGTCATTTAGCAGACGCTTTTATCCATAGCAACTTACGTTACACTTTAAACCCATGGCTTTTTCACATTTTTGCTCAGGGAGCAATTAGGGGTTAGGTGTCTTGCTCAGGGACACTTCGACATGGAACATGGGGCAGCCTTGAATCAAACCAACAACCTTGTGCTTCCCAGCACACCTTCTCTAACCCCTGCGCCACAACAAGTTAGTAGCAAATGGTGCAGTTTAGTTACAGCATATTGTTGAAAAGAGCAATTCTAATAAATCAATCATGTCCCTGCTTCCTTGAACATGTGTAGCTCATTAAACACAAGCAGCTAGCAGGAGGCACATTTTCAGACTACAGGGGGAGTGAGTCACACCCAAAACACGCACACACACGCACGCATAGACACATGTACACAAACGTACACACACAAGCACTTTATGACATATTCAGAAATAAAGTTCCTGCATATGTGAAAAGTTAAAGCAATAGTTTGCAGACTTTATGAAAAACAAAGATGTCACACCATGCACACGCACACATTGCGCAAATGTTTTAATATGACATAAAATAAAGGAATGAAAAAAAAAAGCAGAAGATTTTTGTGTGAGAAGTTGTGTTTTTCATCATGACACTTTGTTTCCATTTCGTGGTATAGTACAGTTAATCTTCACACAGGAAGCTTCAAAAACTATTTCAAATGTTTCTGTTAAGTAGTTTCATCTTCACCTTCATCCTTTTAAGGCTTTAATCGTCTTAGTGATGGTCATAAATGAGGAAGTGAGATGTGAGTTGGCTAAAAGTTCTTCTTCCTCTCTTCTTTGAAGTGGATCACTAAGAGAACAGTCTCTTCTCTTGTGTGCATGTTTAATACTGAATAAGGTTTGTCAGAAAGCTGCTGAGCGCTGAGGAGACATGGAAGCTGTGATCGGACTGTTTGTGATGATACTCGGAGTCTCTCACGGTGAGCTGTTTAACTTATTAAAATGTCACATTTCATGCAGTTGGATCTAATATATACAGTTCAAAAGGTCTTCATTGATGTTCTCTGTGTAAGCGGGTGAAATTGAATGACACCGGACACAACACCGTATTTAGGGGTCTTTATTTCTTGACTACTTTGAGAGGAGATAGCAGTACTAATGAAATTTGGGAATGTTCAATTTTATGATTTGACAAAGATTCCAGTGCACATTTAAGACAATTATACTTTTATAACATTTCAAAACCACGTGCATATTGTGAGGACACAAATAACTGCAGTAGAAGAAACATCTACTGCTCCTCAGGTCAGTTACGTGAAAAGAACGAACACTAAGCCAGCTGCCTCAGTACACTGCCCTCTAGTGGCGTTAGGGGTGAACATCGTTACACTGTACATTATGTTGAAAAAAGTCAGAAAGTTTAATGTAATATTCGAAAATAGTTTAAGCTTCAGGGTGCAAGATTTATTTAATTTACACTGAAGTATTGTACGTGAAAAAAAGAATGAGATTTTAATCAAATGCTGATTCACTATCTCAGTCACAATTACAACATTGTGTTTCACGTGAAATACGATGTATTCAAAAACTAAAGGTTCTATAAAGCTGAGGGACGTTTGTGCATAAGGTACTAATTAAATGTTTTTTTGGTCAGATCTATTGAATTTGAAAAAGAACATTTCCTTGTCTGCAGTAAAGTAAAACTCAGCCATACCATTTTTTTTAATGTTTTCTTTAAAGATGAACAGATTCAAATAATTCTCTTGATAATTTTCTCTACTACATTTTAAAAACACTTTATTGAATCAAATGAACTGTAATAAAATTACAATCATGCTATTTATAAATCCAGTTACTTCTTATTTTTGCAGCAAATGTTGTTGAAAAATGCATTTAAGACTAAAATGAACTGCTGCTTTAAATTTGAAAATGCCTAAAAAACTTTATTTTGTTCAGGTGTGGAAACCCACTGTGACGGCCGACAGAACGGAGCTCAGTGTTTTGGAGCTTTGGGAGGAACTCTGGTCCTCCAGCTGATGGACAAAGCCTCAGAAATACATAAATATCAATGGTCAAAAAATAGAACAATAATCCTAGAGGGGAGAAACAATGCAATTGTGTTTAATAGGATAGAAAACAAATTATTATTTACTCCCAGTAATGGAACACTTAGGATTAATAACCTGATCAGGACTGATGGTGGTGAATATAAACTTGAAACCTTTGGTTCAGATGGAAAGTCATCAGGTTCCAGGGTTAGACAGTTGACCATTCAAGGTAAATAACTATTTATTACACGCATCTTATGCTCTATGTGCTCTATATCCGTATCAATGTCTGGGCTGCTCTGTATCAGGAACTCTACAGAATGATAAAGATTATGTCAATATGAAAAGTCATCCGAGTGCGTTTCCTTCAGCTCCTGTGTCCTCTGTCCTGCTGGTCCATGAGTGTCTGTCCCATGGAGAGAGGAAGGTGTCCTGCTCCTCTGAGGGAGCAGACAGTCCTCAGTACAGCTGGACTCTGGATGGAGACACTCTGACAGACTCTCAGCTCCTCGGTGGAAACAAAGAGACGAACATCATCACTCTGAAACAACACGTCTCAGGACGACTGGTCTGCTCGGTCAGGAATGACGTCAGTAGTCACTCAAAAGAAGAGACGGTCTCTACCTGTGGTGAGTGACAGCATGAGGCGACAAAACTGTGACGTCAACAATACTAAATATTATCGGTACATCAGTTATTGGTCTCTGTCTCACAGGCTTCATCTTCCATAACTGCACCTCAGCCAATGGGACGCACATATCACAGTGGGTGTTTGCAGCCAATAATACTCAATAATGTATTGAGACAACAGCTTCCCCCACAAACACAGCATCGTTATTTTATGGTAAGGAAACTGGCATAACAGTGTCAATTAACCTCAACGGTAATCTCACGTCCCCAAAAAAGTAACATGAATAACATTCAAGTGAAAAACTAATTTAAGTTAACGTAACTCATGTGATGTACATCACATTACATTACATGTCATTTAGCTGAGCCTTTTATCCAAAGCGACTTACAATAAGTGCATTCAATCATAGGGATACAAACTCAGAAGAGCAAGAAACAACAAAGTGCAGTTTCATCAAATAAGCCAATTTACAATTTGCTATGAAGAGGTGTGTCTTTGGTTTGAGGCGGAAGATGTGAAGGCTCTCTGTGGTCCTGGTGTCTTCAGAGAGCTCGTTCCACCATTTCAGAGCAAGGACAGCAAGGAGTCGTGATCTGGTCGAGTGTTTTGCTCTCAGTGAGGGAAGAACAAGCAGTTTTTCGGATGCAGATCAGCGGAGAGAGAGATGTAGGGTTTGACCATGTCCTGAATGTAGACTTTCCAGCTTTCCACCATTGTGGTCTCTCCTTCCCAGGAAACATCTGGCACATCTTGATCCCTGTCTGTTCAGTGGTGGCTGCTCTTCTGATGGTGGTTTTGTGTTGCTGCGTCTGCTGTAAAGTGAGGCATCGTAGGAAGACAGGTAAGACTTCAAAAGCCTGTTTGCACCAAACGACTTTTCGTTTTATGAAAAGATTGAAGTTTAGGATTGAAGATGAACAATGTGACTTTCGTCCTGGTGGTGGAACGACGGACCAACTCTTAACTCTTAACTCTTTGAAGAATCGTGGAGGGGGCTGAGAGTATGCTCATCCAGTTTACCTTTGTTTTGCGGATGTGGAAAAGCTGAAAATGATGTACTTTTTTGTCCATTTTCTATCCTTAAGGTGAGAACAGCTTGAATTTGGACATGAACTCACCGGTGGATCAACAATGAACTGAGGGCTCAATGAACAGGACTCCTTACATTACTTTGACATTATTAAATTCTTTAATGATAAAATACTGATGCTTACTATTAAGACCCTTAAAGTAGTTTTGAGGTCTTTAAGAACATCCTTTAATCCCTCTCAAATAAAGTTAATTACTTCATTCTTTGATTCAATAACAGTGGTCTCTCTGCGTTGTTTCATTTGCTGATTTAAAGTCTTTAATGTTTTTACTGATGCCTCGATACCCAAAATAAATGTGATTGACAATTAGAGAAAATATTCATCGTTGTGAAGGTTGCAACTTTAACTTAGTGGTAGGATGTTACTGTAAAATAAATTTACATGCTGCATTAAATGCTGCATGCTGGATTAAGTTTCATAATTACCAATGGTAAAAATTAATTTCCAATTTCATTTTTTCTATTATTATTTCTGCAGCAGAGCACTCATTTTGATTTTTCCAGAAATGTATTCACTTATTATTATTATTATTATTATTAATATTTCTAATTGAATGGTCCAGGCCTAGTTCCAAGAACAACAGGTGGAGTAACGTGTTTTTGTCGAAGACGCCATAGAGAGTCACGTCTTTTTTGGTGGAAGTTCTTGGTTTTTTTATTTATTTATCATAGACTTTATTGCCCTGTGCATCGCCACTGCTGCTTTTCATCGCGGACACATTTGTCCCGCAATTTCCTCCGCAACTTTGTGCACCTCTCGACCGGCACACCGACGTTTGCGGAGTTTCCCCTTCAATGAATCGGGACGCCTTTCGCGCGTCCTTCAATCTGATCCGTTCTCTCGTAAACATTCTTCGTTTTAATAATTCTCGTGGCCACGCATCGGGACTTGCATAGGCTCAGCCAAGGAAACAGAAATAAGTCGTTGAATGCAGGTCACGTGGAAAATGATCCTTCTGCCAACCTAATGGTACCAGTGCTGAGCCTATGCAGTTCACGTGAAAAATGAACGCTGAACGATGAACGAATCATTGACCCGAAAACACGGCGTTAAACATCACCACACTGTCTGCACGAGAAGTAGAGGGTGGATACCCGACCCGAGCCCGTCGACGCACGCACGGACGCATGGAGGTGTGAAAAGAGGACACGCAAGTGGGTCTTGTGTGTGCGTCGCTCTGAAAACGCAGAAGCATAAACTAGGCTTTAAGCCAAATTGATAAAACCAAACACGTGATTCACTTTCAGCAGCATGCGTATCTTTCTTTGAGGCTGTAGAATGAAAAGGAAGCTGGTACGATCATTTCCGCAACAACGCGGAGTAAATAAGTATGTATCTGAGAGGAGAAGTGAAATGCCCCTCGGCCCTCCACAGATACCACAGCAGCCCCCCCCCCTCTTGTTCCTCTCTGCCCTCATGCCTCCGTCTTTGCTCGATCACGCTCCTCCCCCGTACCTCGCTCACCGCGAGGCTGCACTCGAATAGTCAAG